TAGATCTTATCAGGGATGCGCCGGTTTTAATTTATACGGTCTTTTAATGTCAATGCCGTTTAGTTAAAAAGCAGGGTTAAGCGAAGTCCCCTGACTTCGCTTGGGCGGGGTGCCGTCCCCTGACGGCCTTTGAAACAACCAACGCACTTAACTAACCACATTAGGTTTTACATCCATTTCCTGGTACAGCCACTATTATCCGATCATCGCTTCAATAGAATCCCAAAGCTTGATGCGTGCGCGGAGCGCCTGCTCAACAGCCGTAGTGGCTTCCTGCCATCGTTGCTCATTGGTACCGCATAATTGTTCCGTCATGGTATAAGCAAGCTGTGAATGGTGATCGCCATCGACCTCAATATGACGTTCCAGGTAGTACTGGAAAATATCCACCTTGCCGGGATTGCTTTGCTGCAGCGCTTTGACAAAGCTGATAAACATGCCGGGTATCAGGTCTTCCCGGCCAAATGTAAAGACAGCCGCCTGCAGGTAAGCCTTGCCGCTGTCAATGGTTTCAAAAGTATTTCCTACAAAATCACTTACAGCAGCAGGGACAGCTGCAGCCTGTAATGCCTGGGTCACAGGCAGTCCCAGGGAAAGCGACTTTAGTACGGCTTGCACAGATTGGGTGTCTGCACCCGACTGTAACATCGCTTCCAGGTAAAGCTCGAAATGACTGATCCGGTTGCCGGCAGCATCTACATCACTTTCTTCGCCAATCACAATCTCATTGATCAGGTAACGGGTAGCAGCATCGCCTTTCGGTACCCAGGGCAGCGATACGCAGGTAAGCTCCCGCTGAAGGGATTTGAGCAGCGACATAAAATCCCAGACCGCGAAAACATGATGTTGCATAAAAATATGCAGGTGTTCAATCGTTTTGATTTTCCCGTAAACAGGATGGTCAATAATAGTTTGCCGAAGCGGTGTGATCGTTTCGCGGAGATTGTTTAGATAAGTGCTGTTCATGCGTCAGTTGTAAATTGGCTTGGTCAATCGGGCCGCAAAGATAAGCCACTGTTATTTTTGTGCGCGCGATCCTGACCGCAATTTGAAAAAACACAATCACCTGCGACTTGCTGCAATAGCTACCGGGTTAGAAGAAATTTGAAGGGCAGTTTTTGCCGTTCAGGCAGCGTGACAAAATAGATACCCGGATTGAGATTGGAAGTGCTCAGATCAAGATGAAAACGGCCGTTCCTGCCTGTCAGCACATCATTATACACGGTTTGCCCGATCATATTGGTAACGGAAATTTTCATCGGTGCATTGTCGGTTATATCCGGTACCATGATATCAAATACTCCCTTGTTGGGATTAGGGGCAATGGATACGGACGTTTTTTCGGGTGCAGATTGAATCATGGTCTGTCCGGGTGGCGTTGTCAGTTTCCAGATCACGTTTTTGGAATAGTCAGCCACGTAGATACTGTCCGATTCATCAACCGCAAGCGATACTGATTGCAATAACGGGCGTCCGCCAGGTGTCCCTCCCAGCCCCATAATATAGTTCCCATTGGAGAACATAAAAACGGCAT